TGACTAGTAGGCATAAGTTGTGTTGACTAGTTAACATGTGAGGGTTTTTGATGGTTACATGTTACCTTATGTCTGACCCAGATGTTGACTAGTTTGGTCCAATGGTCAACTAGTGTATGAAAAACATAACTAGTTGGAATGTTTGGGCTACTAGTACAGCAAAATAGATGACTAGTAGTGAAACTAGTCAACTTTTGTTGAACAAGTTAAATCATAAACACCAAAATGTTTACATGTTAACTAATCTAAACTGTGCCCACTTGTTCATTATCACCATTTCAGTGTTTAAAAGTCAACTAGTTAATCTTTGGGTGTCACTAGTTGACTAGTGGGCATAATATGTATTGACCATTTAACATGTGAGGGGTTTTTATGCTAACTAGTTAACTTGCGCCAACAGTCGAAGAGTTTGACTACTAGTCATCCATTTTGCTGCACTAGTAGCCAAAATGTCCCAACCAGTTGCTTTTTGCACAAACTAATAATAGACCCCTGGACCAAACTAGTCTAAAACTAAGTTGTATAAGTTAACTAGTAAACATAAAAAAAATACATGTTTACTGATCATCACAAAATAAGCCCACTTGTTCAATGACATCAAATTATTGTTTAGTAGTCAACTAGGTAAATCTTTAGGTTGCACTAGTCAACTAGTGGACATATGTGTTGACCAGTTAAGATGTGAGGGTTTTTGATGCTTTCTAGTTAAATTGTAAAACTAGTTATGTCTAGTGGTCCATCAGTGGGTGGAAAAAGCCAACTAGTTATGACTAGTAGCCAAAATGTCCCAATGTTCTAACTTTTACATACACTAGTGGACCAATGGACTAAACTAGACAACCATTAGGTTGTTGACTAGTATAGATGGCCTGCTATAGAGTGAGTTGATCCATGAAACTTATTTTTATTTTATTATTTGTATTCGTTTGAGCGACGAGCCACCTGAGTTCCGTTGTAAATGCCGACTTGAACAAGGCGAGACTTCTGGTAGTTAAGGATGCTGTAGTGTGCGTACTTCCTGTCTCCGTCATCGTTGAACTCAACTCGTCCCGTGAGGCCTTCTGGGTATTTAGACGACATCAGCACCCTGCAGATAAACAAAGTTAAGCAAAAATAAAATCACCCGAGGAAACGTGGTGACAGAGCTGGGGCTGCTGAGCTTGGATAATATTTGCGACTTTCGCCTGTTTCTGTGCAGAAACAGATTTTTATGGTGCTGCTGAGAGCCTTTTAGTAAGTAGGTCATGGATCTGTTGAGAGGAAAGTAGATTCTGGAAAACCCAAAGAAGATGATGGGAGTTCAATGAACTGGGGGTTCATTTGATTTACTACATTATAGATGATTAAAACTTAAATAGGTTTAAATAAGCAGAAGGAATCTAGGATGCTGGGTTTCAAATCCCAGTTGAGAAGTTTATAAGAAGTGCAGATTCAATTCATCCATCCAGCTGAGAAACCAAGACATCCTCTTCCAGCTTTTCTGGGAGGACACCAAGGTGTTCCCAGACCAGCCAGGAGACATCGTCTCTCCAGCATGTCCAAGGTCTTCCCCGGGGTCTCCTTTTAGTTGGACATGCCTGGAAAACCTCCCAAGGGAGGTGTCCTGAGTACATCCTTACCAGAGTACATCCTTACCAGAGTACATTCCTTACCAGAGTACATCCTTACCAGAGTACATGTTACCAGAGTACATCC